TGCCCTTCTTCTGGGGTGGGGGATCGAAGGGGTGCCCTGGTGTCAGGCAGCTCCCTGACAGCCTCCAGAGCCCACTGCCCTCACAAACACTGCTTAGCGTGTGCCAGGCCAGCACAGCCAGTCCCACGATGCTGGGGTTGTGTGGACAGAGCAGGGCACAGACACCAGTGTTGGAGAGGGTCCAAGAGGAAGGACACAGACCCCTCATGTTCATGGGCAGTGTCTCCAAAGAGCATGTCTGGGGTCCTTGTGCAGCCCATCTCCTGTCCCTCGAGAGATCACACCCCTCCCTGCACTCTGCTTTAGGTCCCAAAATATTCCCTTGCTTGAGTGCTGGGAGATGCTGCAGCAGAGCTGGCCTGGACAGCCCCCAGTACCCATGTGCCCCACTCCAGAGGCAGCCACTGCACACACCAGAGTCCCAGAAACGGGGCAGAGCCAGGAGGAGCTGGGCTGGCTCAGCAGAACCCCCATGATGGGCAGGGATGAGCCAGGCCCTCCTGGGCAACTTGGGGTTGATGTGTCCTCCTCATGGCTGCCCGGGTGACATCTGTCACTGGAAATGGAGTGAGGGCAGAGCAGGACAGTTACAGGCAGCTCCCTGGAGGGAGCAGCAGAGCCTGGAGAAGGAGAGTCAGAGGCCTCCTGGGAGAGCAAGGCTGGGCAGGCAGGAGCCCTGGCCAGGACCCAGCTCTGCTGCTGGCCAGGCAGCCCCTGCTCAGCCACGAGCAGTGAGCAGGCAGCACAACCACAGGAAAGGGGTTTGACACAGTTGTTGGGTGCCACTGTCCAAGCCTGACCACTCAGCTTGGCTGAGCTGGTATCCAGGTATCTTGGCCTCCCCCTCTTAGGACCTATTTGCATTACTGCAAACTTTCCTAAAGTACTTCTTTTTTGGGAGCAAAAATATTCTATTTTTGGTCTCAGTCCAGAGAGATTTTCCTTTTCAAATTTGATTGAATTAATCTGTCCAGCTGTCTTTAACTTGAGAAATTGAAGGAAAAACTGCATTCTTCCCATTTGGAAAGAAAATGTGAAAACAAAACAAAACAAAACAAAAACCAAAGTCATTAACATTACAGGGGTCTGGGATTCTCTCTCTCTCTCTCTCTCTCTCTTTTTTTTTTATCCAATTATTATAAACTTCCTCTTTTTCCCTTGGGAAGATCTTTCAAGTTTTTCAATGTAAACTGTCCAGTAGCAGGGATCTGGGCTACACACACACATCTACAACTCCACCCCCAGGCTCTCCAGCTCCTTATTGCACCCATACAGCCACCCTTGTGCACTCCTGGCTTTCACCAGCCCCCCCAGAACAGAGTCCTGCTTGACCACTGCCCACAGGAGCACGGGGATGGGAATCAGGGGGTTGTACACACTCACACACACACACTCCTGTGCCCCTTGCCCCATGCACACCCATACATACACACCCCCCACAAATGTCCACCCCAAGCACAGCCACTTGCACAACCCAATGAACCTCCACGAGCCCCCACGACAGCCACATTCACAGAGCCACAGAATCATTTCAGTGGGAAAAGACCTCTCGGATCATCGAGTCCAACTGTCAACATCAAACTGCCATGTTCACCACTAAACCCTATACCTGCTCCCCTGTTCCCCGTGCATGTATCCATCCCATCCCACCCTACTCCCACTCCCACATTTCCTGTGCATCTCTCCAGCCCATCCCATCCCACTCCACTCCCACTCCCACGTTCCCCATGCATCCTTCCATCCCACCCCATCCCATTCCCACTCCCACTCCCACGTTCCCCATGCATCCTTCCATTCCACCCCATTACCACTCCCACGTTCCCCGTGCATCTCTCCATTCCACCCCATCCCATCCCATCCCATCCCATCCCATCCCATCCCATCCCATCCCATCCCATCCCATCCCATCCCATCCCATCCCATCCCATCCCATCCCATCCCATGTTCCCCGTGCCGTGCCGCAGCGCCCCCTGGCGGCCGCCTGCTGCCCGCTCCGCCCCGCATCCCGGGTTGCCATGGCGACGGCGGGGATGCTGCGCCCCCAGGCCGGGAGGGCTTGAGGGGCTCCTCAGACGGGGTTTGAGGGGTTCAGCAGGCTCCTGGGGGCCTGGAGGGCTGCGGGACTTCTAGGAATCTGGGGGACTCCAGGGGCACTTCTGGGGATGTGGGAAGTAACTGCCCTGAGGGACTGCTGGGGTGTGTTAGGAATCTGGGGTGGGATTCTATTGGATGGGGAGCTCTTGGGGAGCTGTGGAGGTCTGGAGAATTCGGAGACTTCTAGGAGGCTCTGCTGTCTGTTCAGCCCTCTCCAGACCACTGGGACAGTCCAGACCTTGACAGGCTACTGGCAGCATTTGCCTGTGTCAGGGCTTCTCCTGGCTATCAAAGAACTGGATTTGGCTTTGCCAGACCAGGAGCAGTAAGGAGCTGTGGTAAGGAGCTGTCAGCCCCCACAAGAGCTGTCCCTTTTCCCCAGCTGGACAGAGAACAAGACACACAGCCCGACTGGTTTGCACACCTATGAGAAGCTCACAGACACAGTGCAGAGGTAACTCATGGATGTGCAGAGGAGTTGCACCACCACCAAAAATGTGGAGGGGAAGCACAGACTGTGTTCTTCCCCTCCACATTTTTGGCTTCTGTGCTCTCCATCCTTCAGGAGCTGTGATTTGGGGCAATGGCAGAGAGGACACAGGTCAGACACCTTACTCAAAAGTACTAAATGTCTTCCCAGGGGTTTATCCATTGCCACATCTCCAGAGCCATGTCCATGCAGCCCAGAGCATGAAAGCAGCCCATTGTGGGGGAGCTGAGACAGAATGCAGAGAAGAAACTTGCTGGAGGCTGGAGCCCAGACTCTGAACGTCTCATAGAGAATTTCAGAATCCCTCTATAGGTGGTCTCAGCTATGGTTCCAGAGGACAGCAGGGGTGATGTAAAGTTTCACAGCACCTGCTGAACTGACTTCTCCTGACAGGCAGTCCAGGCCATAGGGTGTGCTCAAGTGCATCCAGTTCAGAGGCACCTGCAGAGCCTATGGAACAGCTCCACACATCTTCCAGCACACAGCTCCTGCAACTCTCCAGCTCCCTTCCTGGAGGACCATTTTGCACCCACACACGTCCTCCGTGTCCCAGACACACCTGACGAAACATAATATGACACACAAACATACTCCCACACAGGCACATGTGGGACAGTGTCACTGTCACACACACTAGCAATTTGCTGTGTATTCATAGAGATGCAGGAAAACACACAGGCCAACTTATTTACACACCCACGAGGGGCTCACACGCACAGTGATGGGTTATACAAGCTCACATGCACACATATGAACAAGCATAAACATGCTACCTGTGCATGCACACACACCAAGCTGCTTTCATGCACCAGCACCCACCCTACCCTGCTCACACCCACCCATGTATTCCTGTGGGTGGGCGTGGGGACAGGAGTTCCCGGGAGCCCTGTGTGCCTCCCTTCTCCCAGCACCACTGTGGCCAAGTCAGAAGGGAATTTCCAGCTGCAAAGCTGCAGCTAACAGATTTAGAGACTTCCTCCCCAATGATTGCTGGGCTAAGTTAATGGTTCACCAGCACCCTGCTTCTCCTGCCCTTCCCTGCTGGCTGCCTGGGGTGGGGCAGGCGAGGAAGGCAAGCTGGGGGCATCCCCAGCACCCCATGCAGCCTCCCTTGCCTTGCAGTGTGCCCAGCACTGTGAGCTCTGCTTTTACCCTGCCTGGCATTACCCAGCACATGGGGCATTGCTGCCTCAGCCACCTCAGCTTAGAGCTCTCCTGAAGAGGGGCGTACAGGAAAGCCCCCAGTGTCCAGCACTGCTGCAAGGTGGAGGGCAGGCACAGAAGTGTGGGCCTCTCTGCCCGGGCTCTCACCCTGCTGACGTCCCCCTGGGGGTCCTCAGCCCAGTGGGGCATTGCCAGCTGAGCAGGCACTGCACACACCCATTCCACTCTGCAGTTGCCTAAACCCCTGTGCTGGGTAACCCTGGAGAAACCAGTTCCTGTGGACTCCTTGCAGCATGGGAGGGACCCCCTCAGAGATTCCTGGAGCCCCTGGAACAGAGGCTTGGCAGCTTGCCTTGCTGGGCAGCCAGGCAGGCTGCTCCTCACCCTGTGTTTGTCCATGAGGGGCACAGGCTGATCAGGTTATAAAGACACACATGCCTGGCACCCTGCCACCCAGGTGGGGTTGCACGTGGCCCATGGCATGCCAAGTGAATGCCTTGCATGCCACCAAGCCAACAGTGTCAGCGCTGTCCAGGGCTTCTGTGTGCCAGGCTCTGCAGCGGGGACTGCAGTGACATGGCTGGAGTGAAAAGAGTACAGGGTCCCCTCGAGAAAGTCAGAGCACAACAGCACAGTGTTAGGGCAGCTAGATGTACCTCTGGCATGAGGCATGAGTGGAGGCACCACGGACTGCAAGCATCCCAGGTGAGATGGTGGCAGGACACAAACGGGCACCCCAAGCAATGACAGCTGTGGGTGATGGGAGGAGAGCACTCACACACTGGAAGCAGCAGAGCAGGGCAGGAGAGTACTCGCCCTCATCCACACACATCTCCAGGCTTGACAACCACAGAGAAAAGCAGAGGGTAGATAAAAAATGAGCTGGACTTTGCCACAGGTCCCAGCAGGGCTGGGGGCCGGCAGGAGTGTGACTGACTGGGACTCACAGCTGGGAAAAGGCAGCTCTCTGGCTAAGCCCATTCCAGTACGGTGGTCAGCGCATCTCAGCCCTCCCCAGGAAGCTCTGTGGCATACGGCTTTAAATAGCTTTATTATGGAAGCTCTGTGCCACGGGGACCATGGGGGTGCCAGGCAGCCCTGTGCTGCCCTCTGGGGAAGCCAGGACTCCCCAGAGTGCAGAGCTGAGCTCACCCACGCTGACCCTGCCACCGGCTCCACCTGTCTCTGTCCCAGGGGGGCCCTGTGAGCCTGGAGGAGGCCTCCCAAATTGTCCTCGCCTGACCCCGGGCTGTCAGATGCAGAGGCTGAGCTCCTGGCGGACGGAGCACTTGCGGCACTGCACCACGCAGCACCAGTGGAAGCGGCAAAGGCAGTTCTCCTCCAGCACCACCGTCTCGTCCCGGTGCCCTCTCCCGCAGCACAGCAGGTCGCAGCCGCTCGTGTCCATGGCCGTGCTGTTGCAGACACGGCCCCTGGTGCCCAGCGAGCCCGTCTTACGGTTAGCCGAGCAGAAATCAGGCGAGTCGGCCGAGTAGATGAGGTCCTGTTTATCGGGAGGCTTGATGTTGTCGCCCACAGGGATGAGGGTTTTGCCGTCGTTGCCTCCCATCACCTTGAAAGCCCCGTTGAAGCGCTCGAGCAGGCGATCGCCCACCTCGCGGAAATGGGGCATCTTCCTCCAGCAGGTCCGCAGCGTGCAGGAGCCCGAGAGCCCGTGGCACTTGCACTCTGTCCTCATGTAGCTGCGCACCGCCTGAGGAAGAGACAGCCATGCTCAGCCCTCAGGGCCCTCTCTCGCTGCCCAGCAGCCCCAGCCAAAACCCTGCCCCGTGGTGCTGCCCTGGCCCGCGGGAGGGGCTGGGGGTGGAGAGTGGCCCGGGGGTTTCCAAGGCACCTGCAAAGGATACCCAAAAGATGTTGGGTCGTCTTTCAGCCAAAGCTGGTGCAGGTACACGGCTTGGGGACACTGAAGGTGGAGGGCTGGGCAGGGGCACAAGGGCTGCAGGGGACAGGGAGTGCAGGGGCCTTACCAAGCGCCCGGCTTCGTTGTTGTGCAGGTCGATAAGAGCTCGGATATCATTTTTTCCTTTCTTGTTCTTGGCATCCATGAACTGCTGGGATTTCTCGTAGCCAAACTGCACATCATCCCCACAGCCCCCCCACTCCCAGGCGGTGCCCTCTGGGCCCGGCCCCGCCGTGGGCGAGGGGGGCGCCCGGCTCCGTGTCAGCTCACAGCCACACTGCAGCAGCTCGCCCATGCTGCAGGCCTGCGTGATGGCATGGCTCACTCCAGCCGCCGTGATGGCGTACACGAAGGCTGTTTCACGGATATCTGCAGGAGAATGGACAGGGCTGGGATGTGGGGTCAGCTCCAGCAAGCCAAGCACCACCCCCTGGCTGACATCCCAGGGGCTTCCCCGTTCTCCCTCTTCATATGTGCTCGGTGCTATTTCCCTGGGCAATGCACCCACCCTGGAACAGGCTGCCTGGAGCCCGAGATGCCTCTTGCAAGCAGATTTGAAGACTCTGGGGGATCGTCAAGCCCTGCCAGTGTTCCTGCACTCAGTTCTGGAGAGGCAACAAATCTCCCGCCTCCTTTTGCAAGTCTGGATGCTGCCCCATAGGAAAAAGGGAAGCTCAGAGAGCAAAGGGTGGTCCCAGATGACCAGGTGGTACCCACAGCTTCCTCACACTACCCTGCAATATCCCTCCAAGCAGTAAAAATCCCGACCACAGCTCCAAACTGGCACCTGGAAGGGCACACTGTGAGGGATACCGAGGGTGCACTCACCCTCTGCAGGGCAGCAGTGATGAAGCTGTGCTGCCTGCTCTCCCCCCACTACCCTCTTTGCCATGGGGAGCTGCCCGCCCCCCTCTCTCCACCGGCACAGCCTCCACCCTGCAGGATTATTTATTATTAGTATTTGCTCCTGTCTCTCTCTGCTCCGGGACACGAATTCCAAGCATCTTTCCCCTGCCCGGACCTGCCGCTCGCAGCCGCAGCCAGCGGGGGATTCTGGCGGCAGGGGTGCGGCGCCCTGCTCGGGGGGCTCCCGCGCCCCCTGCGCCGTGCCAGCCTCGCTCCTGCCCGCCCGAATGCCAGGGCAGGGCTGGCCCGGGGGGCGGCCTGCAGGGGATTCCTGGGCAGGGAGGGGAAGGGGGCTTTTGCGGGGTGTCCCATCCCTCCATCTTCTGACGTGGGGAGGCTGCAGGAAGAGGGATACCAGGGCACCAGTTCCATGAGCGGCCCCTCCAAAAGCCCACGCAGCACCTGCATCCCTCTGGTGTTAGCAGGAGCTGGGCACACCAGTGCCTTTCTGGGAGTGCCACCAAGGGGGTACCACCCCCTCCCCGGGCCCTCCCACCCCTGCAAGCCACCCGACCACCCGCCTGCTCCCACCTGGGGCTGGCAGAACCCTCAGCAGACAGCCCAAAGCTGGCAGAGATCCCCATGCCACCCTGCCAGCCGGGCCCTGGGGGGGTGCCGCTCCTCTGACAGTTCCTCCAGACACGTGGCTGCCCCCAAGCCAGCCTGCCCTGGCATGCCACACCTGGCACAGGTGGCAGCAAGGGAAGAGGGGACAGCCATGACTGTGCCAGGGAAGCCATGGCCAGGAATGAGAGGTTTGCAGCACCCTTGGATAGAAAAGGATATCAGATGGAAGGTGTTTATCTGATGGAGCTGGGAACCCCAGAAATGCTGAGATACTTTGCAGTCCCTGCAGGCTTACAGGGAGGCTGGTGCCTGCTGGTACCTCTGAGGGCTTCTAACACCCATCTTGTTGCCCTGGGGAACGCCACACCTCTAGCTGTCCTCAGAGTGCCAGGGACTCAAACTACCACTGTCCCTATGACATTGCTTATCTCCAGCACTCCAGCAGTGAGGCTGGACCAACGTGGTGGCTCCTTCAGCATCCCCATGCTTGATGTGCCTGTGCCTCCTCCAACACGAGCTGTTCCTGGGTACCCAGCAGCTCATCTGGCAGTACCTTTCACTCCCCACCTGGTCTGGCCCTGCATTCTGGCACCACCCCACTTCTAGAGCAGATCCCTGCCTGGCATAAATCCCACCTGCCTCACTGCCAGTTTTTGGTGACAATAGGTGACTCCAGAGACAGGAGAGTCCCTCATGTGCCCTGGCTCTCTGCCTCTTGGCTGAATACACCTCCCTGTGTTGGGGGGAACCCACATTTGCAAATCAGCTTTTTAAATGAGCCTATCCCCCTCCCATGGGCCAGTGTCTCCCTCGAGGCTTCAGCTCTGACCCTCACTAGTACCTGCAGTCAGTTGGGTTGCCCAGGGCACCCCGCCCTCTCCAATCCCCCCAGGGATGCCACCTTCCCCCCCTGCATGGCCCATGGACATATCCACCTTGCCTTGGGCTGGCCAAGCACCAACAGATGTGATGGCTGAGGAGACTGGGGCTTGCTCCAGCATCTTCATCTGCCATAGCAGAGGGACAAATATGGGAAGAGGGGCGGGGCTAAACTCACTTCCCATTAAGTGAACCTACCAGCCCAAGGTGTTTCAAGCAACCCCTCTTGCTTGGAGCATCATCCACTCCCAGCTACTCTCCCTGAGGAGCATGGCAGGGCTTTCCCATCCCTCACACACTCACAGGTGCCCTCCTGCTCTGCCCCTGCTCTGATTTTTGCTGCAGCTGGGCCTGGCTTGGACTGCTGTACCCACTGTCTGAGAGCTGCACATACCTTCCTGCCACCCAGCCCTGCTCCCCAGGGTGACACCAGGCTGCCCATCCAGGGACAGGGACGGGGACAGGAGACAAACATCCTCTCCTCTGCTCCCTGCAAGGCCAGGAGGAGGGACGTGAAGGGCACCCACGGGGTGAGGGGCAGCTCCCAAGGGCTGCACACTGCTTCCCAGCCAGGCCCCTTCCCACAGCACACCCTGGGGTCCCGGGAGAGCAGTAAATCACTGCCAGACGAGGGTGCATTCTTGGGCTTCATGAAGCCCCGCACTGTCTGGGAGCATTGGTAATTGCTTCATTACAACACGGGGAGACATGTCCCGGCAGTAAAACCTCGGTGTGACTGCACCGGGGAGCACTGAGCAATCCCCTACACACACACACAAACACACACACACACAGAGCTTTGCACGCCAAGACTCTGCTCCAGGAGCCCTAGGGAGATGCTTCCCCAGGCTGGGGTCTTTCTGGGAAATGGGAAGCTGAGGAAGCACTGGCCTTACCCTGCTGCAGGATCTTGCCGAAGTACTTGCTGTGGCTGGTGCAGTTCCAGCGGCGGAAGCGGAATTGGTACTGGCACTCCCGGACGCCCAGCTTGGTGCCCTTGGCCACCTCCTGCACGATCTCTGGCTCCAGCTGGCACAGCTCTGCCTGCTTCCCCGCCAGCCGCTTCGTCTTGCGGCAGATGCTGTTGGGGTCCATGACCAGGGGGCTCCCCACTGCCCTGCAGGAGGGGACAGCGAGCAGAGCAAAACCAGCACCCAAGCCCAGCAGAGACCAGGGTGTGGGTGGGACATGAGCAGACCGACCCCAGGGATGGAGCAAGGCTGCGGGGCAGTGCCAGCTCCATGCTGAGCCCGGGTGACAAGGGGACAGAGAGACATATGCAGTGGGGCTAGGACAACAGGTATGGGTGGCTCATCCAGGCAATACATTGCCCTGTCCATCCACTGGGGAATTGGGTGGATCTCCTACTGTGGGACAGTGGTATGCTGGCACACACCACTCTACACTCTACACCCCTGGGGACATCCATGGAGGTGATGGTGGTGTCCCCAAGGGAGATGGCAGAAATATTGTGCTACTCAGCACCTGCTCTTTGGGGCTGGCACTGATCTAACCCAGCCCTGGCATTGCCGTGTGACTGATGCCCGATGCAGCTGCGTCTCCCAGAGCTGTGGACACAGCAAGGAGCCCAGCCAGCAATCTTGGTGAGTCTCCTCCTCTGCACGGGTTCTCGCTGCTTCACCCCGTGGGAGACTAGAAGAGTGACCTTGCCTCTGATAAAGGCCCTCGGCTGCTGGCCAGGATCCTGTACTCACCTCCCCAAATCCAGGCACTGACTCCAGGGAATGGAGCCGCAGGCGGCTGCGGGAGTGAAGGGAGGGATGCAGGTGGCATTGCCAGCTTTGCCAATGCCAGCGAGGGAGGGCAAGTCTTGGCTGGGCCCACGTCAGAGGCAGCTCCTCCTTGCCAGCACAGCTGGCGCGAGGTGCCTGACTCCCTGGCCCTGAAGGCAAAGTCTGAGCACACTGCTGTGCTCCCCGGTGTGCCATGGGCTACAGAAACTCCTGTACTTTCCCACACATTTTGCCTGGAGTGCCCTCCATGGTGCAGCTGCGCAGCCTCCAGCGCCCTGCCTCGTGCTGGCACGGGCCGTGCTCCAGCTCTGCCACGGGCAACTCCGGAGCCATGGGCCACACCAATTTAGCACACCCTAAACTCAGCCCACCCCCGCCTCCAGCGCTGCTCCTGTGGGCCCACAGCTCATCCTGCTCAACAACATGATTTTCGTGGCCATGGATGCCCACAGAAGCTCAGGGCTGGACCCAGCATACCCCAGGATCAGGATATGCCTGATGATTGGGAGGTTACATTCCCTGGGATTCCCTGGGGAGCAGTGCTTGGGCGGCCGTGCTGCCTTCAGCCCCACTCACTGGAGAGCATCAGCTGCACAGCTTCCAAACCCAGAGCTTTATAGTCTGGCCAAGCCCCAGGGGCTCAAAAATCACAAGCTGAATCTCAGTGTTTAACTGTGTTCTGGGTTTCCTTTTCACTCTTGTGCAGCTGGGGGGCTGTGTTTGGGACACCAGGCTGCAGTACTCTGCTTGCAATCCTGTCCCCAGTGCAAACCCCCTCCAAGCCCCTTGTTTGAAGCTCAAAGCCCTGCCAGGATCCCCCTGATTCATGTCAGCTCCCCAGCTGCCTGGATCTCCTGCCTACCAGACCCCAGCTGGGCTTGGAGAGGATGTGCCCTCTCACACAGCCTGGAAAAGGAGCCCTTATGCTTTGGCTGGAGGTTTGAAGGTTAAACAGCTCAACAGAGAGGCATAGCCTGGAAAGGGAACTTCCAGCAGGGAAACTGAGGCAAGCCCACACTCCTGCCAGGGAGAACCCATGTCCCTTTGCTCCCATCAGCTCAGTTTCCCTTTGCTGCATGATTCTCATGGACCTTTGCAAGGGATGGGGCAGCTAGGAAATCATCACGGAGATTGCCTGGTACAGGTCCTCCATAGATGGGGAAACTGAGGCCCATGTAGAAAGTGACCAGAAAATCTGTCCAGACCCATCCCATGATGACCACAGAGGGATCCAAGCCTCCATGCTGGTCTCCAAGCTTGCTGTCCTTTGTGACCACAGCAGGATGGCGGAGGTTTGGCTGCCCCCGCCGGTGGAGTGGGGAAGAGGGGGAGCCGGGATGGGACTTTCATTAAGAGACGACTCTTTGTACTCATATAAAAACGATGCGCCAGCCCCCCGGGGCCGTCAGATCAAATACTGAACTGTGGCTCACCCCGGCCCGCTGGATCAGGCCAGGAAGGAGAGCTCAGCCCCGCGGGTCTGGGGGTGATGGGCGGCTCACCGGGGGTCCCCACCCATGGTCCAGGCGGCGGCGAGGCTGGCGGGAGAGCAGCAGCTTCTGTCCCTGCCGGCCAGGCGTGGGGTGGGCTGCCTAAGTCCAGAGCGATATTAATTTCCGCTGGGCTCCTCTTTCTGGCACGGGGAGGCTGCCGGGAGCCCAAGAGCTGTTTTGCTTTGGAGGGTTTAGAGGGGGGAGAGAATGGGGGGAGACAAGGGCAAGAAAAATGCTGCCAAACTGCTACCACTTTGGCAAGGGCTCCGGCGCAGGGCCCAGATCTGCCTGAGCTTGTCCCGCTCCAAGGCCTCCCGCATCTACAATTAAGGTGCCCCACCTCTGCTGCCGGGCACTCCTCCCCCTGCCCTGGTGAAGGAACAGGGTCGCCAGCCCGGCTCCCCACACCTCGCCTGGGGCACCCCGGCCCCTGCCTGGAGCCCCCAGCCAGGCTCAGCAGCACAGAGCATCCCTGCCACCTGCCCCTGGTGCCTTTTGCTGCCTGCCAGAACTGCTGCTGGGGGCTCTGGCTTGCCCCAAAAGCCAGTGGGATGGTGAGCCCCACTATCCAACCTCCCAGCAGCCCTGTGTAAGGGAAACAGCCCCCATTGCTGAAAGGGGAGACTGAGGCACAGAAAAAGAGCTGCAAACCACTGCTCCCCTGCCACTCTCAGCCCTTAGGCTGCCACAGCCACAGCCTGAGCCCAGTCCCAGTGACACACGTCAAACAGGAGTCACCAGGGCTCCTGATGCAACCCCTGTGCTCTGGATGCTGTGCCTGCTGCCACAGAGACAGGGGCTCCCAAGAGATACAATCACCATTCTTTCACAGCTCAGCTCATGGTCATGGGGCTTCCAGCATGTCCCAATCTCATTCCCAGCCAAAATCATGGACCAAGGAGCCTGGGCCAAGTCATCATCTTCTTCTTGGGCATGGGGATGATGTGGAGCAGGACTTCTGGCCCCTGCCAGCAGAGCATTATGGAGGGGACCCAGCGGGGTCCTGGTTTGCAGGAAGCCAAGGCAGTGAGGCTGGTAGAACTATGCAGTGAGGAGGAGGATAGTCAGCTTTCAAAAGTCACACCTGCAGGAGAGCAGTGGTTGGGCCATTCCAGCTCCATGTGGGATCTGACAGGCCTGCACCCATTGAGCACTGCTGCCTGGGCACTCCTGTGGGGCAGGGGGATCTGCTCTAGGGCAGTAAGGCTGTGTCTTGCCTCACATACAGGTCTCTATCCCAGCCTCTAGAAGCCTTCAGCAGGGTGATGTAGGTACTAGGGTACCCAGGTCATCACTCTGAGCCCACAGGTAATTCTGCACCCACCTGGAGAGGTAAGAACTGCAGGGTGACAGCCCTGGACAGCTGACCTCCATCCCTGGGGACATAGGCCACGTCACCCCCCACACAATGATGTCACACTGTGTGACAGCCTACAAGTCAAACCCAAAGGGAGCCCGTCTCTTTCCAAGCTGTGCAAACAGGGCAAGGGGGACCCACAGATGAATTTTCACCCACCCAGCTTTCCCTCAGCCCATGCAGGCATGTGGTGGGCACCCAGCCCCTCACCCAGGGCATGTGTGGGTGCTGCCACTAACGGGGCACTGGGTGTGGAACCAGAGCAGGGGCCCATGGGGGTGTGGTGAGTAAGCAGCAAGTCACTGCCCTGGGGGGCACAGCCAGGGCTTGGCTGCCGAGCAGCACCCGGGGCACTGAGGCAGCAGGAAATGCCATGGGTTGGGAAGAGAAGGGGGACCCCCCATTCCCCACCCTCCTCCTTACATCTCCTTGGCAAGGATGGCATGCAAACAGCTGGGGAGCTGCCTAAAGGATAGAGGCTTTGGCATGGCATTGCACCAAGCCATGGACCTGCTAGCTGCAGGGTCGTGCTGAGGCCAGGCTGTCGTGAGCAGGAACTGCCCAAACTTGTGCTGCAGGTACAGGGGGCATGGAGGGAGCATTCACCTGCAGAGGTGGTGGTCCTAAAACCATGTCCAGACCCTGGAAGGGCTGGGATAAGAGGAAAGAAGTCCACCCACTCATGGTCACTACCTCATTCTTCTGGGTGCTGACAGAGGCTGGAGCTGGGGTAGCACGAGGGCTTGGCTAGTTCATGCCCAGATGTGGGTGCCACATGTTGTGGGGGGACCCCACAAAGCCTGAAAAGATGTCAGAGTGTGCCCAGTACCCTCCTGCATGAAGGGGGTTTGAAGCACTCAAGGTTCTGATGCAAAGGCCGGACCTATCCTCCAGCTGTGTGCATGTGTAGGGCATGGCCAGGGAGCCTGGGTGTCACCATGGGAGATGGATGTGACCAGGAGCAGGGACAAGGGATGGCACTGGGGAAAGTTCAGCTGCCTTTGTGGGAGAAAACAAGTCACCCAATGCTGGAGCCAGTAGTCATCTCAAAGGGTGCAAGAGAAACATTGTCCCATTGAAAAACCCAGCAGGTCAGCAGCTGCCCCAGCAAGGGCACAGGGAGATGGCGTCAGGCAGGGGCTCTCCCAGTGGGAGATTCATTCCTGCCCATATGGTGCTGCCCCAGGGCAGAAGACATGCTGGGGAAGGCTGGGCAGCCCAGTCTGTGGGGCGCCGTGGGGTAGCAGCTGTGGGTCAGCAAGGCCGGGGTGACTCACAAGGCTCACCCCAAGGCAGGGCCCTCCAGCCCAGCAGCCTGCCCTCACAGGCTCTAGCCCTGCAGTGTGGGAGCTGGGCAGGGAAAGAGGAGAGACCACTGCTGGGTGGTCACACAAGTTGTGTGGCTTGAGGGACATGGGACTGGGACCCCCTCAAGCATGGGTACAGCCACAGGGGCTGGTGGGAGAGGTCCTCTCTGAGCACCTCTGAAGAAAAGCTGGAGGTGCACTGCCCTCGTGCATGGATGGGAAGGGGATGGAGGGCAGGTGTCCATCCCTCTGGGCCCCCTCAGACCCACAGCTGGAGCAGAGCACATTTCAGCTGGGATGATTTTCTCCCTTGCTTTCCTCTCCATCTCCCAGCTGCTCTCAGCCATGCCCATGGACAGACAAGAGGCACCAGGGAAGCTGGTTTTGCTTGCCCCCATCCCCAGAGTGCCTCTGCACTCCTGCAAACCGGCTTGGCTGAAATCCTGCCCTGAACCTGCCTGGGGCTCCTCAGACACTGAGTTTGCCTGCTCTGTATCTCTGCAGCCTCTGGGCCAGCCCAGGAGCCCCAGGCAGTCCCTACCTGTCCTGCTCAGGGAGAAATCACTGTTGCACAAGGAGCTGAGCAAGAAATGTGTAAAGAATATGGGAAGAGGAAGAAAGAGGATTTACAGAGCCGCTGGGAGCAAGGAGAGCCTACTCCCTGCAGCTTGGCACTAATCAAGGTGCCAGCAGCACCTGAGTGACCCATCTTCCATTGGCACTGACTACAGCCTGCTCCCTTTTGCCATGGAAAGGTCTGTGTCTCTCTGGGGACATCCTAACACAATGGGGACGCTCTTTCTCAGGCTACAATGTCACTAGCAGGGTGTCAGTGTTTGTACACCACACCTAAATCTTTTTCCACAGATGCAGCCATGTGCCAGGATCCCAATGGGCACAGTTGCCACCTGTGAGTGGCCAGGGCCTTCTGCTTGCCTGGGCTGGGACTGCATCTTGAGATCCAGCCCAGCTGCAGCCCTGTCACAAATTAGGTCGTCAGTGGGGGAAAATGCTGGCTTAAACAGGCAACCCCTTGTATCCCACCCAGCACACAGATAATGTACTCAGGGGTGGGATGGGGAAGTTGTGAAGACATTTCTTTCTTGCCCAGGGGAAAATGGCTGAGCACCTTGGCTAAGCAGCCACAAGTGCCCAGTGATGCACACACAAAGGTGTGCCACCAAAGTCCCCATGCATCAGTGACAGTGACAGCAAGGAGCAGCTCTATCAATGCCACCAGTCCTGGGGCTTTCAGGAGCTCTGGCACAACACACAGCTGCTCCCCTGAACCTCTCCCCACCAACAGCAAAACCCACAGACACCAGTGCTACCCAGACCTGGGAGAGGGGACCAGTACCAGAGCAGGCACACGGGAAGATGCCTGTCATGAGTGCCCAGACTCCTCTGCCCCACACAGGAAGGGCTCCCTGAGATCATCTCAGCCAGGGGCCAAAACACCAAACTCTGAGAGAAGCAGCTCATGAATCACGCAGCTGCTCCTATGCCCGGTCCCAGGAAGCCTGGCACATCCATTTGGCAGCGCTGGTGGCCTCATCCACCCACCACCTCTTCCCAGCTCTCTGGCTCCAGAGGGAAGCAGAGTGTGAGCTGGTGATCCCCCTGAAGCTGTTCCACTGCCCAGTGCATTCGCCGTGCATCAGGCAGCTGAGTTATTATTCTTAAAATAAAGGTTCCTTTTCTTCTTCTTCTTTTAAAAGAAGAAAAAACAAGTTTGACCCCTTGCCCTCCTCTGCCAAATCCTGCTAATCTCCTGAAGTCACTGCTCCTGTGCACACATGGCACCAGCAGGACCCAGACTCCATGGGGAGATGCAGTTCTGAGCACCTGGGGCAAGGGGCACCAGTACCCCATATCCAGCTCTGGCTGGTGCTGTCTGCCTGCCCCTGAAATGACAGCAAAATGAGCTTCTGCTTCACCTTTACCTGCTCCAGTCATGGACAGATGTCCTCAAAACTAGAGCACAGCACCATGAACTTGAAGATATTGGTGAGGATGGGGCAGAGAAAGCATGGACAGCTGAAGGGACAGCTGTGTGTGTGTCTGAGAATTAGCCAGGAAGAAACAGCAGCAGGATGGCACATGCCCTGCAATGGCACAGCTACCCTGAGGTGGGTGGCACGGAGCATGGAGACCCTCCACAAGCACCCTGCCTTGGCCAGGCTTGCCCTACCTCACTCTCCCCTCTTCTAGCACAAAAACCCAAGGCAAGTCCCTCTCAGCCCCATGTTAAACCCTTGCCTGGCAATAAACTCAACGCTTGGGCTCCAGGGACAAACTCTCAGCTGATGTACAACTGACTGTAACAGCACCATTTACACTCACAAAGGCCCCCAGTGCAGCCCTGGAGCCAGGGCTAGGAGAGGGAATGGAGATGTGGAATAAATCACTGGTGGGCAGGCAGGGGACTGTGAGGGGAAAGGCTTATGGAGAGCTTTATTTTAGGGGTCAAAAGAGTGTGACAATGTGGAGACGAATAGCCTCAGATAATGAATGATAGCCCGGACGGCACGCCGGGGAGCTGGAATCTAAGCACTTAAAACCGGATAAAGACAGGCTGGGTGAAATTCTTAATAGATTTAAATAGTTCATGTTTCGACAGATACCTGGGCTTTCCAAGGCTGGGTCCCAGTTCTGTGCCTGTAATGAATCCCCCACCCCCTCTGGTATCCTGCAAGGCACCGTCTCTGCCTTTGATGAGGGCACCATTACAAATAGGGGTTTTGTCCCTGCTGTGTCCGGGCCACCATTCAGGGGGGACACTGTAGGGACCCTAAGGCTTTTAATTAAATTTGACTTATTGAAGGGGTCTGGAAGCCACTAAGCCCCCTTGCCCACCCCTCAGGCATGCAAGCTTCCCAGGCAGTGGGCTGGGGGTGCGGGGAGGCAAAGTGCAACTCTCACCACAGGACCCGTGCACCCTGTACTCCTGGGGATCCCCCAGCTGCTGCCTCCAGCACACTTGTGTGCCCAAACCCTGACAGTATGTGGGTGCCCCAGTCTGGACCAGAACAGCCAGCGAGCAGCAATTCCAACCCAAGTGGTGCCTGGGTGTAGGGGACTCTTTTGTCCCCAAGCTGGGGGGGGACTGCCCCCGGAGATCGAGATACCCTGCGCGCCCTCCTGCTTTCCCCCCGCGGGATGTCCTACTCACCACCAGAGCCCGATGATGTTTGCGGGGCAGAGGAGGATGAAGAAGAGACCCAGCTGGGTCCGGGAGGAAGGCAGCATCCTGCCAGGACTGAGGAAAGCGTCGAACTCGCTCCACGCCACTGGCCGGGAGCCGGGCACCCCCGAGGTCCGGCCGGGGCCCCGGCGGGTGGGTGCCCGCTGTCTCCCTCCGCCGGGCCGGGCCGGGCCGGGCCGGGCAGGCAGCGCGGCCGGCGGGGCCGTCCGGGCCGGGCTGGGCTGGGCTGGGCTGGGCAGGCACCTCCGGGCGGCTGGAGCGCGGCGCGGAGGCTGCTCCGCAGAAGGAGGAGGGACGGGGCTGCGAAAGCATCTGCTCCGACAGGGAAACCGGAGCCCGGGGGACGGACAGGGCGGGCCGGGCGGGGGGACTCCCGGGTGCCAGGCTTCGTTCCCAGCGCAGAGCCACGGACACGATGCGAGCACGGGCACCCTCCGGTAGAGGACGGTGGCCGCAGCCCGCCTGGCCCCGCGTCCCGCCGCCGCGTTTGAATGTGCAGCCCTTTTTGCGGATCTGGCTGGCACAGCCCTGCCCCCGAAGCCCCGGACCTGCTGCGGACCTGCCTGGCAAAGCCCTGCTTGGCACAGCCCTGCCCGGCTCCACTCGGGGTCCTGCCGCAGCCCTGTCAAACCCGACGTGGCCTCGAGGTGTCCCCGACACCTTCCTGTCACACTCTTGCCCGACCCTGACACTCCTGGCATGGCCTTGCCCAAACCTGGTGCCCCTGGGTTGCCCCCAGCACAGCCCTGCCCGGCCCCTGTCCCTGTCTGGGCTCGCCTGGCACAACCTGGCTCCATGACCCTGCCTGTCCTCAGACCAGTCTGTCCCACCTGGGAAAGCTGGAGGAGTGACCCCTAAGGAGCATCTCCCCACACTTAGCTCCAGCACTCTGCAGAGACATGCCTGGGGCAGAGGGACACACAGGAGAATGATCGAGCCAGCCCTAGGAGCAAGGAAACCGGGAGACCAGGAGAAGAGTGTGGTGAGGGACATCTTGTTTATAGTGATTTCATTTCAGGTGCTGGGGACCCAGAGCAGACACAGTTCCCAGCACCAGCTCATAATAGCAGGAGCAGCAGGAGCTGCCTGGGGCAGGAGGAAGCTGACATGCCCAGAAGGCAGCAGGGGGCCACACAAGGGCTGTGCAGCTGGGGACAGGAGGAGCCCATAGCCTGCCACACCAATGCTCCCCACAGAGGAGCCTCAGGAATGGTTTTCTAGCGCTCAGCCCAGTGCTCTGCATCTCTGATTCCTCTTGTACCATTTATGGCTGCCATCAGAGGTTGGGGATCAGCTCCCAGCCCTGCAGCATCTGGGCCATGGATCCTGGGAGAGGATCTACCCTGGGGGAGTCTCACCTGATCTCTGTACCCAGCTCCACGGAGCAACCAGCCAGCCCACTGGGTTAGCCCAAAGGAAAAGGAGGTGTCTTCCACTCGTGATGGGCAAAGCAGAGCACCCTTGCTGCTGGTGAGATCAGCCCTCCCTCCAGCAGCTATTTGTGCTCTGTCCCTCATGGCCTCCCACACCTTGCCCACCTCAAGCCCCTGGCTTGCCCATAACTGTTCCCCTTGCCTTGATCACCAGGGGTTTCATCCCTTCACCTGGGCATGTCTGCTCCCTGCTAACAGCATTCGGTGGTGAATGACTCAGGCTTTATCAGCACCTTGGCACAATGCTCTCCCTCCTGGGCACAGGAGGTAAGAGACTCCCACCACCTCTGGAGGACTCACACCTGCTCCTTCTCTGCTGTCCCACACAGGAAATGGGCTCCTGGTCTGCACCCTTGGCATGGTGACTAGCACTGAGCTGCCCTGGCCACAGCATGGGGACACGGGGACACAGGGACATGGGCTCAGTCCCTGAGCTGGGCACTGCCTCTGGGCTGCTGCACCATGCAGCACCTGTCCCTGTTGCCTTTGCCTTCACCCACCACCTCCATGCAAGCTGTCCTACAGGGACCCCATCACCTCTGATTTGGGGGATAGTCCACAGCCGCAGCTGGTGAGAGGGGACATCCCTGCTGCGGCTGGCCGGGGCTGAGCCGTGCCCAGGGGCCCAGCCCTGCCGGCAGCGCTCGCCGCAGCGCACGGCTCATCTGCCGGCGTGTTGAAAGTGCCTGTTGTCCCTCCGCCCCTAGCGCCTGGCCTCCTTGCAAAGGCAGCGCGGGGCAGGTGAGAAGCCTTTATCTGATTTCCTAAGGGCAGAAAAATCCCTTTGATTTTGCCCCGAAGAGGGGAGCGGGGGGCGGGGGTGCCGTCTCGGCGAGCAGGTGCGGCTGGTGCTCAGCGACTCGCCTTATCATGTCAGCTCTGCGAGAGGCTGGAGGCGGCCGGGGGGGCTGCCGTGCCCCCAGCACACTTAGGGGAGCTGGCCCCATTGTCTGGGTCCTGGGGCAAAGCCCACTTAGAGGGGCTGGTGGGGCAGAGTGGACAAAGGTGGGCTTCTTGCCCTGTGTCTGGGTCAGAGGATCTGGGATGAGGTGTGTGCCAGGAGTTTGCCCCTATCTCACAGCTTTGCTCACAGCTGCATAAAAATTCTCCTTTAGCAAGGGGAAACTGAGGCACAGAGATGCTGAGACCTGCTTAAGCAGGTGGGGAGTGGTTGTCTGTTCGCTCAGCCCCAGTAATTTTCTTGCTTCCTCCCCTTCTGCAACAAGACCCAAAGGCACACGTACTTCAGGGGACAAGGTGACAGTGGTCGTACTAATCCAGGGTGACAGGGATGCCACTGCCACTCTGAAGCAGCCTCCACCATCACAGCTGATTCTTTGTCTCTGCCTTTCCTCGCCTCTCGCAGCTCACTCCCCCCCCCCCCGGCTTTTGTGTTATTACAAATTATAAAACAATTTTTTCCTGCCGTCCCGCATTCTTCTGCCTCCTGCAAGAATTTTAATGTATTTATTTTTGCTATCAGGGGAAAGCGCCGTGTTCCTCGGCCACCCCCAGGCAGCCCCGGCCCCACTTGGCCACTGATGGAAATTAATGATGGAGGATGCAGGGGGAGAGCAGACACCCCTGCACCCCTGCAACAGAGAGCTGGGGGGACGGGTGCCCCCCAAGCAGTCCTGTTTCTCCCAGTGGCAAAGGACACAGAACTCAGCTGTGGAAGGGGTGATGGGACAGAGGGGCTTTGGGGTCCCCAGTTGGGCCTGGGGTCCCCAGGAGAAGTTGTTGGTTATGGACTGGGGAAGGGACAGTTTTTGGGCCCAGCCAAGAGGTGCTTTGAGGTCCAGTTTTGAGGGTGCTGTGTTGGGGAATCATCTCCATATAGCAGTGTGACTTTGAAGTCCTCTTGAGAAAGAGGAGACCTCCCCAGGACTCCAGCCCACTCTGCCTCTTGTGACAGCATCCCCAGGGATCCACAGCCTGCCTGTGGGAGAAAGCATCCCCTGAGTGGCCCATCCTGCACCCCCCACTGTACTCCCTCTGCCTCTAGGCTGGTGCTCTGATACTTGCTGAGCTCTGTCTCTCATTCCCAGCCATGCAGCCCCAAGGGTGTGGATGGGGGTGCCCTGCTCCAACAGCCCTCCTACCCCACGGCCACAAGGCTGGGGGGGGCTCTGGCTGCTGGGAGGGAGCGGACAGGGGAGGAAGTAATGGGCCTTTCCCGCTGTGGGGAAAGCGTGGCGATTTCCAACCCAAACACCCCGGTGCTCAGCGGCCGCATACTTTCCCAGCGTCCCTCCCCTCCTTTATTCCTGAGGACATTGGCAATCAAACCCACGTTGGCCTCCTCTCCTGCTCCTGCAGTGAGGTCATCGAGCTGTGTTTGTGACATCCCGGCATTTCCATGGCAGCGCACTGTGATGTCATAAGCCCGGGTTGCGACCTCACGGCAGGAGCAGAATGATCTTATTAAAACAACACGGTCCCCATCCATGGCTGCTCACAGCTGGGGGACTCCAGTGCAGGGTAGCAGCCAGCAGACAGGCCTGTGGCAGCCAGGGGGACGATGAGAATGGTGCCCTCCCTGGGGTTATGTCACCAGTGGGAGATGGTGGTGACACAAGGCATGATCCAGTGCTCCCCCAGGGCTGAGCTCCCAACTGATGCAAACAAACAAGCCACATGGTGCTGAAGTGACAGTGAATCTGGGAACAGCCATGCTAGAACTTACTCCTCAGGGTCCCCCAGGCCTGGCCACAGTGCTGCCCACCTCTGGGACCAAGCGTCTGGGGCCTTATCGGGGTGCAGAGCCCTTTCATGTCAGGCTGGCGGGCGGCAAGCAGAGCTGACGAGGACCTGTCCCCAGATGACAGCAGCCCGGTGCTGACAGCGACTGTAGGGCCCATTCTTAAATTAGACAAGTCCCCCTCCCCCTGGCCAGCACTCCTGACCCTGCCCCATGGCTGGACATGGCCTGGGACATCACAGCCCACAGCACTTTGCGTGGCCAGCATGACCCACACACACATGTGCACACACCTGTGAGAACACACCCTCAGGGAGCGCTGGTCATCCCTTGGGCACTGACAGGCGGGGGGATGGATGGATGGATGGATGGATGGATGGATGGATGGATGGATGGATGGATAGGAGGATGGACAGGTAAGGGGGGCTGGATGGGAAGAGTAATGTATGCATTTGTTGATGGATGGATGGATGAGTGTACAGACAGCTCAGGAGATGGATAGAGAGATGGCTGTGAGAAAGCTGCTTGCAAGTGTGGATGGATGGATGGATGGATGGATGGATGGATGGATGGATGGATGGACAGGAGAAAGAAAAGGCCCTAGCAGCACTTTTTAGCCTGTAACTCTGGACATTGTTGCTATTTCCAAATAACCTAAGTTTCACACAGCATCTGTTCTGGGAGAGAAGGGAACATCCACATCCCAAGGGGAGAAAATTTGCCATTCTCACTGCAAGACAATTTGAGGGCCCGACCTCGTGCTGCTGCAGCAGTGCACCCTCACTGCTAGCACAGAATCCGCTCTCCACTGGCCAAAGGGGAAACTGAGGCCAAGGAAACTGGCTTGCAGAGCAACAAAGCTGAAACCACCAGGGAGGCATGGGTGTGTGTCCAGTCCCACTCGCTCCAG